TTTGTATTTCAATTTTTGTATATTTTTGAACTTTTAATTTAATTCACTTAATTGTCTTTAACGATTAAGTTGTAAGTTGTAATATGTAATTTTTAAGTTAAGTTAACTAAATTGTAAGGTTGAACTTCAAGTAATATATTTTGAATTTTTAAATTTTTTTTTTTTTTATCAAAGGGTCAAATAGACACTCTAACTTTACATGAAAGTGCAATTAACCTCCTGAACTTTTAAAAAGTTCAATTAAACACTCCAACAATATAAATTAGATCAAATACACCCAATTTACTAGTAACCAACAGATTATCGGTATATAACTCATCGTTGACCGTTACTATTTACCTTGACTGTCATGAAATATCATTGAACGGAAAAAAAATGACGATTGACTGGCGGTCGCCCTCTTTTAAGAAGGCGACCACTGAGTCGCCTCCTTCTCCGCGACTCCGCCGGAGAAGGCGGCCCAGTGGTGACCATGTCCAGGCTAAGGCAACCACTAGGTCACCTTCTCCGCCTGGCATCATCCTAGTAGAAGGCTATTTGGCATCATCAGAGTATGAAGTTATGCTAGAACCAATGCTACGCTATGGCATCATCCGAGCAGAAGGCAACCCCATGGGTTGCCTTTTGCTTGGATGACGTCAGCGGTAGGTGACGGTTGCCAGAGTTTAAAGAAGGTGAATAACATGCAAGTGACATTCTTTTGTAGGTCATTATTCAATTTTAAGGTTTCAATGCATTAAAATAGCTAAATGGAGTGTTTAATTGTACTTTTTAAAGAATTCGAGAGACTAATTGCACTTTTTTGCAAAATTAGAAGGCTTATTTGACCTTTCTCCCAATATTTTTTCCAATTCAAACAAAATCAAAATCCAATAAAAATCATCCAAACGCGAAAAATCAATATCCGATGGGATTCATTGCTTAAATTAAACGGATTGGGTACACATAATATAAACTGAAAACCGAACGGGTTAGCAGTTCATAAATCCGAACCGCCCGAACCCGATCGCTGCATAGGGCTAAAACTAATAAAATAATGCCACATAAAGAGTTAAATACTATGAGATAAATTAAGATCCACAGTATAGTATGACTTCAAACTGTAGTGTTCTTTTAAATATTTTTTTTTGGGGGGTAGGGAGATGGTTTAGAAAATGATTTTTTTTTTCTTTTATGTTTACAAATAACATTCTCTTTCTATAAAGTTGCTTTTCCATAAGAAAAAAAAAAATAAAAGACTAATTTAACCACACTATCTTAGTATGCTTCCAATATCTAATTTTGTTATAAATGAATGAGAGAGGCAGGCAGGCAGTGGTCATGCATCCACATTTGGCCCTGGATAAGCTGCCAAACTCATTATACGCTTGTCAGCCACTGGGACTCCCACTGTAAAATGATATAGACTCTGGTATTCTGATCCTTCCAACCCAAGAACTTCATGTACTGCCAAGGTTAAAAGCTCAGTTGCAATGCCCATAATAGGTTGTAAGGCAAATTATATATACATACAGTATTTTTTTAATACATAGGTTTCCCAGTTTAGGTCAGACTAATCTTGACCTCTAGTTCCCCACCACCAGAGTCATGTAAATCCGAGTCGCATGAGCAGCCTTTCAGTTAGTCCTCCGCCTTACTATATTTCTTTGGCTGGATATATGTTCTATTTACACAAGATGGGACAAGGTGACAACAACCATTATTCCTTTCAAACAATATTCACCCTGAGGTTTAGGACTACTGCATTTGTAATAAAAAGAAAACAACACCTTCCAAATATTTCTTGGCAATATAAGATTTCAAGACCAAGCCCAAACTGTTCTTCTTTCCCTATAATGGCAGAGCATAGATCTGTCCCCAGTGCTAGGGATCTGAGAAATTTGTGACAATTATATCTTATCCTATAAAGTGAGAGACAAAAGATGACATGCAAGCCTTTCTGATAATTCAAAGAGACCAGGATGAGGCACCCGTTCTACAATCTCAGTTTTGTTTTTGCCATGGCTTCAAAAAGGTCAAAAAGTTGCTGGTGTTGAATGTCTGATTTTCTTAGTTACTACATTGCAGGATGCATTCCTTTTTCCTTTTCATTTACCTTATTTTTTTCTTTCAACCAGAAGGAAAAAGGTGGAGTTGGAAACATGAAGACAGGCTTCATACATTGTTGGACTTCTTAAGTAGTCTGGGAAAATCAAACCAGTCCTTCTATTTTGATAACTTTAAATATATATGCATGGTTGGTTTCGTTCTTAAATCACAAAAGATTGAAAAGGTTTGGTGGGGGAGAAAGACAGAGAGAGACGAATTTAAGAGAAGAAAGCATACCAGGATCATCAAAGAAGCAGCCAATTCCAGTGGCAGAGATGCCAACAGCATGGGCCTCAAGGTACAAAACCTGGCCAAGAACTCCAGTCTCCCAAAATAATCGAGGATACATCCAAGCTCCCTTTTCCCGCAAAGTGGGCTCAAAATGAGCTATCATACCAAGGCTGAAGCAGCCATCACTAGCAATGTCCTATTCATCCATATTTACATGGTTAAAGAAATGATACAAGTCTGGCATATAGTCATTTTGGAAGGACTCACAACTAGAAAGAAAGTGCATAGTTGACAAACAATATGGTTAAACTTCACTTCACTCAAATTAACCAATGCCATCTCAACATCACGGTACAAATATTTTAAACGCACAGCACAAATATTGCAGCAATACATAATACATATCATGTGGAACGGAAAAGCTAATCTGCTGAAGATGAAACACAAGACAAGTGGAAGAAACAAAAATATTCATAGGACAGTAAAAAAACCCATAAATAAGGAAACATTATTTAAATAGTTACCCTATCCTAGTTATTGAAAAAACGTCAGGTGGCATTACAAGATTGACAGTGTGATCATCATAATACCTGATGGCATGAGAGCCGTTTTGAGAGTTCCTGACAATCTCCTCTTGCTAGCTCATACAGAGGAAGATCGTTAGGGCATCCATCTGGTTTCTCCCATTTAAATTCAGACCTAGTAGCCTTCCTAAGGCCATCCAAATGGTTCTCATTCCTCACCAAAAAGTACAAGCCACTAGGCAAGCCCACGACCCTATGAACAAAAAGAGCAGCATGCACTTCACATTCCCAACCAAGTGCCCTAAATGGCAGCGCCAATTGTCTTTTGCAGTTATCTCCACTTCCAGAACCTGAAGGCATACAATGTAATAAGATTTGATAAAACGTTTCTTTTGCCATACTAGTCTTACCATCCATATCAACTGCGCTCCTTCTCTTTCTTACTACATCTCTCAAACTAAACCCCTTATAAGAACTGTCACTAAGCACCCCACTACTCTGAAAAGAGTCAATAATTGATCCATTCATCATTGTTAATGGTTTTTTTGCAGCTTCGGCAGTTCTATATATAATATCCCAACAAACATGTTCTTTACTAAGCAAATTAGGCTTACCCTTCCACTCTACACCAGAAAACTCCAAAATTTCAGAACTCAACTCCTTATAATCCACTTTACATTCATGCAATCCACTAGGAAACACCAAAAGAACACAATCAGGATGCTCAAATTCAATTTCAGGCATTCTCCCTTTCACCGGCCTATCCGGAAATTTAAACTCGGGAAAATGATCAAGCCCCATTAATTTCTTCAACTCTGCATAGCCTAATCCATCCAGAACCTTCACATCCCACCCCAGCCCAGCCGCAGCCATGGCAACCGCCGCAATGGCATGCCCCACATCATGATTACAATACCTAAAAGCCCTTTCACCATACTTCCAAGCCTCCCTCCAAAAAATTGAGGACAAACCAACAAAAAAGGAATTTTTAGGGAAATTTTTGGCGAAAAATTCAGAGGGAATTTCTGCTCTAATTTCCAGAGAATGCTCTTTTGGAGCATAGTGCGCCACGAAACTGCGAGAACATATTGATTCGATTGGCGGAGAAATGAGATACGCCTCAGTGGGATGCAGATTCCCACTGCTAGGGTTTACGCGGAGGGACCAAGTCGAAAACCCGGTGGTTTTCCAAGCTGATAACGCGAGAGAATCGTAAAAAAACTGAGAAATAGTGGCGTAGGAAACTGGATGTGGAGATGGGAGAGAGTTGAAGAGCTCAGAGTAGAGAGGGGATTGATTTCCTGAAGGGTGCAGCAGAGAGATGAGTGGGGAAGAGACGTAGCGGCGGAAAGGGTTGGGCTGGTTGGCCCAGTCGAGGCCGCGAGGGCCGCGAGCGTAATTGGTGAAGGAGTGCTTTGTTTGGTCGTGGTATTTCAACACTTGAGCAATTGAGGCTTCTCTAGCTTCCTTCTGCGCTGATTCTTGGATAGGAGAAGGGGAGTGCGAGGACGAAGAAGAGGACATGGAGTTTATTGGGATTAATTTAGTGGTTGGGAGGCGGGTGTGGTGGAGAGAGATTGGGATCCTGCAAGAAATGAGAGGCATTTTGGAAGCGTTCTTGTTTATGTTTTCAACTGTCAGCTTTTCTGGCGGGTACATAAGCGCTGTGCATCAACTGAAAAAATGAATCATGCCTGACATAGTTGAGTGGTTGTTACTTGACTCGATGTCACGATTAATGGTACTAGTGTGAATTCAAATCTTATTGGAAATATGAATGGAAATAAAGTTCATGATGATAAAAGGTGCGGATTGTATTTCTTGTGAGCACATGAAAATTAGGATTTAATGTTCGGTGAGATTATTGCGCGACTTGTGATTTACTTTTATAATGGTTCTAGAAATTGAAGCATGTGTTCCGTATCAACTAAAAGTCTAAACTCATAGTTGGATTGCACATTTATGTTTATATATAGAGAAAATTTCAATTTTGGTCCACTGACTATTGGGATTGTGTTAATTGCAACACTTGACTTTCAAAAACGTTAATTTAGTACCTTGACTATGCAATTTCTATCAATTTTGGTCACTTCGGCCAAATTGCCGGCCAAATCTCACCGGAAAATTTTAATAGGTCAAATAATGATGGTTTTTTGGTCATTTTACATTTTTCCTTTCTTCCCCGGCGAGCAACTCCATTTCCGGCGACTTCTTCTTGAATCTATTCGGTGGCAGCAACTCCATTTCCGGCCAAACGAGCAACTCCATTTGGTCAACACTGGAAAAGCCAAAATTCTTCGCGGAGAAGTCGCCGACGTTGATGAAGAAGGAGGATTGATCAGCCAGCACGGAAATCCAGCAGCCATCTTTGAGTGAGATTTGAAGGCCCGAGGTGTTGTTGGATCTCAGGACAGATATGATTTGTGGGTCTGTGTGTTCGCCGAACCCAATCAAATTCCTGTCGTTGATTTCTTGGAGCTCCGGGCATGGAGGGTAGTGATTCAGCCTCAACATCGAGTCGCTCTCTTTGTCCATCACTAGCCTGCTCAACACATTCTTGGGGTGAATCTTCAGCCCCTCCGCCATTAATTCAAGAGTCTCACACTTCACAACTGTCACATAGTCACTCACCGCCGCCCTGCATGTATTGTATTTCCAACCAATTAATTTCCAACCAAAAATAATAATAAAATTAAGAAGCTAGCTGTCCGGAATATCTCACCGATCGTGTATCGTTTGGCCGGAATAAAATTAAGATTCGAGCAACTGCAACCGAATAGATTCAAGAAGAAGTCGCCGGAAATGGAGTTGCTCGTCGGGGAAGAAAGGAAAAATGTAAAATGACCAAAAAAACCCTCATTATTTGACCTATTAAAATTTTCCGGTGAGATTTGGCCGGCAATTTGGCCGGGGTGACCAAAATTGATAGAAATTGCATAGTCAAGGTACTAAATTAACGTTTTTGAAAGTCAAGTGTTGCAATTAACATAACCCCAATAGTCAGTGGACCAAAATTGAAATTTTCTCTTTATATATATTATATGTTCAACACGCCCCTCACGTGTGCGGGCACCAAGCAACGCGTGGACCGTGGCTCTGATACCAAATTGAAGCATGTGCTCCATCTCAACTAAAAGTCTAAGGTGATAGTTGGATTGCACATTTATTTTTATTTTTTTTTGGTAGGATAAAGGGCCGAAGCCCCGGGAAAACTAGCGTAATCTACTAAATGCGACCTTGTTAGCGCCGCGAGCCAAGAGCGGATTCAACCCCTCGGGAGGTTGAGAGAGAATCGTAGTACCCCACTGACTATTCTGACCCATGTTGGCAAGAAAATCGGCACATTGGTTCCCTTCCCGAAGCACGTGTTTGAGATCGAAGGAGTGGAACGCTTGAATCAAGGCCTTACAATCAGAAACGAGGGTGTCCGCTTCAGGAGAATTTCCAAGATCCTTCTCGAGCAGATGAATAATGGCCAACGAGTCTGTTTCTGCTTCCAAATTATGGAACCCATTTTGTCTTGCAATACGAAGGCCTTCCGGATAGCCCAGAGCTCAGCTATGAAGCTATTAGTTGGACCTATCTTGGTGACAAAGCCTGACATCCATCCTCCCAAGTGATCGCGAAATAGCCCTCCAGCACTGGCTAGCCCAGACACGACTTTTTTGGCACCATCGGAGTTAAGCTTTACGACCCCCAGGCGAGGCGGAGACCACTGCACCCAGTTTTGGCTTGCGTTCAGCGGGCCATTTCGAAAAAATAGATTCTAAACCGCCTCTGTTGCCGCCGACCGCGCTTGCTTTATGATGATATCGGGCGGAGTCCTGTGATTATTGAAAACAAGGTGGTTTCTGGCCTTCCAAATACTCCAAAGGATGTAGGGGAAGAGAACACACCACGTTAAATTATAAGGTCTCATGAAGTTGCTGGCACAGTTCATCTCCAGCCAATGCGTGAGCGGGAGGTGATTAATTGTGTAGCACTTTGCAGGGGTAGGGATGCGCTTCCAGCAATCCTTCGATGTCTCGCAGTGGCGGAAGAGATGGTCAAGAGATTCTTGGTCCCCACCGCACCTTGGGCAGGAGCCATCGCCAGTTAGATTGCATCTAGTCCTCTCCAGGTTGACGAGAAGACCATTGTTGATTGCCTTCCACAAGAAGATTTTAATTTTCTCCGCCGTTTTGATCTTCCAGATCCAATCTTTGGGGGCTTGATCATCCACCAAACCTGTAATAAAAGAGAAAGCAGATCTAACGGTGACAAGCCCTGTACCTGAGTGAGGCCAGTGGATTTTGTCTTGGTGATCATTAGCAATGGGAATTGGGATAGCTCTAATACGATTAACACAGTCCTCCTGAAGGAGGTTAAGAAGATTAGAAAAATCCAGGCTTTATTAAAAATAAAATCCCTTACCAGCAAGTTTTCTTTACCAATGGGAACAACAACGTTAGGAGTGTTGGCCGGACTTACATCACCAACCCAATTATCAAACCAGAATTTAGTGGTAGATCCCGAACCAATTTTCCAACGCAGCCCCCGGGCCAAAATGTCACGCCCCTTGAGGATACTACGCCAGCCCCAAGAGCAATTGGTATTGGCGTTAAGCTCAAGGAAATTATTATCTTTAATATATTTATCCCGCATCACTTTAACCCAGATCTTATTGGGATTGGAAAAAGTTTCCTAGGCCAACTTCATGAGGAAGGCTAAATTGAAATCTGACACTTTACGGAGCTTGAGCCCGCCAGAATCGCGTGGTTTGCAAATCTTCGACCAACTGATTGTGTGTAATTTCCTGGTGCTGTCAGCGTGCCCCCAAAGGAAATTCCTGCAAACTCTGTCGATTTGTTTGCAAACACTTACCAGAAGGGCCAAGGATTGCATAGTGTAAGTCAGAATAGTGGCCAGAGAGGATTGTACAAGGACTCTCCTTCCAGCCATGCTAAGAGAACTAGTTTTCCAAGTAGCTAACTTCCTCCTTATCTTGTCAATAACAGGAGTAAACAAATCTTTGGAGATACGCTTTTGTAGGATCGGTATCCCTAAGTAAGAGCCGAGGTGATCGGATAGCGGGATACCCAAGGTTGCGCTAATATTGCTCTTCGTACATGCAACAGTGTTGGGTGAGAAAAAAACCTGGGATTTAGAAAGGTTTACCTTGAGACCAAAGGCTTTACTGAAAAGATCGAGGCATTTAGAGATGATTCTGGCTTGTCGATCTGAGGCCTCACCAAAGAGCATAAAGTCATCCGCAAAGAAAAGGTGAGAGATCCCAACCCCTCCTCGAGAGATGTAAGCAGGTTTCCAGGTGCCCGCGGTAACCAAAGACTGGATCTCGTACGCTAATCTCTCCATGACGAGATTGAAAAGATAAGGCGCAAGAGGATCACCTTGATGGATCCCTCTCCCCGGCACAAAAGGGGGAAGCTTCCCTCCATTCCAAAGGATAGATATTTCGCTTTGCTTTAAGGAGAAAAGAATAAGGTCGGATAAACTTCTAGGAAACCCAAATTGAATAAGAGTCTCTTCGAGGAAAGACCAGTCAATACTATCGTACGGTTTGTGGAGGTCCACTTTGACAATCATGATACCCTTTTTACCACGCTTCTTGTGCATCGTATGGACCAGTTCTTGGGTAAGGATAATATTGTCCTGTGTTGACTGCCCGGGGAGGAAACTGTTTTGATGGGGGGCAATTAACTTACACATAATTGGTCTCAATCTGTTGACAAGAACTTTGGAGATCACCTTGAACGCCACATTGAGCAGGGCAATTGGTCTAAAATCAGTAGCTGATTTCGGAGTGTCTTTTTTCGGGATAAGAGTCATAAAGGCTTGAAGGAGAGACTTGGGAATCGTGCTTGAACTGAAGGCTTGGTTCACCATATTAGTGAGTGCTGGACCTACCTCATCCCAATACTTTTGGTAAAAACCAGGCGGAATGCCATCGGGCCCTGGGCTGCCAAATTTCTTCATACCTGACACTGCAAATTTAACTTCGTCAATGGAAGCTCTTCTAATCAGACTAGCCGACTGGTTAATAGGGATTTTTTGAGAAGCCCCAACAGGCACCATCACGATATTTCCATCCAAATGCCCCCTGCAAAAAAGAGATGAAAAGTAATCGGTGATATGGTCAGATAAGGTATCCGGGTCGTCTGTCCAGCCTCCTTGAATTTTTAGGAAACGAACACGGTTCCTATTTCTTCGAATCATAGCAGAATTGTGGGAGAATTTGGTATTTCTGTCTCCTTCCTTGATCCAGTCAGCTCTAGATTTTTGGTACCAGAAGGCCTCTTCTTGATTGAGAACATCATTGAGCTCTTTACTCATCTCAATTTCCAAAGTTTAGAGGTCAGTCGAGGTGGAGTAATTGCTGGCAGCTTGGATCCCTCGAATCCGGGTTTCAAGGCGCTTTTTTCTGCTAAAGATATCTCCAAAGGTTTGCTTATTCCAGCGGATACTCTCCTTAGTCACTGAGGAGATTATGCCTTCGATATTGTGAGCGCTACTAGCAACAACATTAGTCCAGATGTTTTTGTAATCTGATCTTAGGAGCCAGGCTGCTTCAAACCTAAAAGGGCGGGCATTCTGATCAGGAGGCCTGCCCACTTGATCAATAAACATGATCGGGTTGTGGTTGGAGTGGACCCTAGGAAGAACCAAAACATTTCCTTCCAGGAAGGCCAGCTGAGCCTCGATGTTCCAAAGCATCCTGTCCAGCCTACGCAACTGGACCACTCTATTACCTGCAAAACGACACCATGTATAATTTGGATCAGAGTACCCCGGGTCCAACATGCCACAAAGACTAAAAGAATCCACGAATTTCTGCAAACAATTATTATTAATAGAGATACTCCTCCATTGCTCGTCGGTAGAAGCGATGTCGTTGAAATCTCCCATGACGATCCAGGGACTCTGGATAGAATTGCCAAAGGATTTGCAATCTTCCCAAAACCTACACTTGGCCATCGTGTTAGGTCTAACATACGCAAAGGTAATATACACATCATCAGGCCTTTGTTTCACCTTAGTGTGAATGGCCTGCGAAGTGTACCTAATAATATCAAGATCAATTTGCCCTTGTTTCTAGAACAAGAGCAACCCACCCGCAAAACCCAGGGGATCAACCATAAAATGGTTCACATAGCCCAAATTATAGGCTAAATTAATCATATTTCTCGCTTTAGATGACCAAATCTCAAGGAGACAAAGGGCATCAGCTCTGGACGTGTCCAGAAGTTCCTTGACATGCCTTCGAACCCGACCATTCACGATACCCCTACAATTCCAAGAGACAATCTTCATTGAGAAATAGCGGTGGGTGGGGAAGATTGAGAACCGCTTTCCCCAGGCGTGAAACCAGAACCAGTTGTAAAATCTCCAAAAGGAGAAGAACTGGAAGCCAAACCCGAAGGGTTGGTCTAAACACCACCAAACTGGAAAAAAGTCGCAGGGCCATTACTACCATCCCAGGGCTCGGCCGGACGGGGAGCAGGTCCCCCACCACGACCTGTAAACCTAGGTCTGCCACGGCTTAATCCCCGGTTGTTGAAGCTCCCCTAGATATCCCCGAAGGTGATATCCCAGGTTCCGGAGAGGAACCAATGGGGTAGGCCAAAGGCACAACATCGTGCTGCACCTCTTCAGGAACGTGAGCTTCCGGACGAGGAAGAGAAACATTACCTCGAGAGCTCTCACCAATTTCTCTAACCTGATGAAGAAGGGGCGAGGAATGAGGGGAATTCTGCATGGTCACCTTTTGCGCAGCTCTCGGAGGGCGGGCAGCAGGTTGTTTTCCTCTGGAGTGATCCGCGTTACCTCTCTTCTGCTTATCCAGAGGTGACGAAGAGTCTTTCTTACCATTGATCCCCACCTTACCAGAATCAGATCCAGGGGCGAAATTGTTACCCTTTTGTCGCCCTGTAGGATTATTCTGTTTGCGAGGCTGATTATTCTTATTGGATTGCTTGTTAGATTTTTTCCGTGTCACGAGCATCCATGATCCATGAAGGGGGTCTTCCGGTGATGGGAAAGAAGATGGTTTGGCAGCCACCGGAACTTGCTGAGCCTCCCCCTCCTTCTCCATTTCCGGGGAAGCATTGAGATCCATGGCATTAAAACCCATATGGCTATTGTTGTTGCGTGGACAAGATTTTTCACGATGACCGACCAACCCACAGCCAAAACAAACCACATGTAATCCCTCAAACTTGACAATGTGGAGCTTTTCCTGAAACCAGACTTGAGTTACCAAAGGTTTATCAATATCAATCTCGACTGCAGCCCTTGCGAAGCAACCCCGTGCCGCCATTGTAGTAGTACGATCAATTTTAAGCGGCTTGCCAACCCCTTCAAGGATGCTCTTGATGATATCCTCCCTAAAGTATTCCATCGCTAACTTAGGGAGCCTTGCCCATACAGCCATCTTCGGAACTTTGTAGTGGAAGGATCAAAATCTGGTTCCCATCTCTGAACCACAAGGTAGTGATCAAAGATCTTCCATGGACCATCCAAGAGGACGTGGAGGTAGTCAGTACGATTGTTGAAACGAGCAACAAAGCAGCTATAGCCAATGTCTATGAGTTCCATTCTACCTTGAATGCCCCATAGAGATAGCAATCGGCGATTCATCATGTTAAAGTTTGCATTCTTTCCCAGAAATTTGATGATCAAGGACATTTTCCATTGTTGGCACAACTCGATCCAGACACTCTTCGGGATCCAGATCCGTGGTCTGCCATCATCTTCATAGTGTTTATCAACCGGGGGATCATCCGCCACCTTAGGATCGGTGAACGCCCAGTCAGTTGCCTCCACCCGGGGAGATTACCGCCATTAAAGGGGTTTAACGTTGTTTTAGCATCAACAAACGAACGTTTGGTCGTCCTAGACCTCTTGTGTGCACCTTCCGCTGATCCAGAAACCTCCATTGGAACCACCGAAGGAGAATCGCCGTCCTCCGTCGGCGGAATCATGGTGGACACCCACCACACGCCGCTGGTAACGGCTAGGGATGAGCGGGAAAGTTACCTAAAATAACTGATCGGCAAAAAGGAAGAATATCGCTCAGTAGAGAGAAAAAATCATTCCCCGCACAAATACTGTTGTACTTTTCTGGATTGCACATTTATGTTTATATATATTATATGCTCAACACTAGGGGCAGAGTTTCTGACTTTCCGTGAACTTAGATTAGTCTGCCAAAATTGGGATCACCTAAGTTTAAGAAAAAATGAAATGAACTCTACAATTATATCATTCAAATTATAATTTATCACTATTTTTTATTATATTCATGCGGTGGTTTTACCGAGACGGGTTCATCATAAACTAGGTATGAATGTACAAATTAGGGGTAGGAAAATAATAGTATTATTGCTCGAGGGCAAATTTTACTGTGGACCATGGTCAATGTAGCATCATGGACCATGAAGTATATATCATTTTAATTACACTTCAGTTTTATTTGACAATATTGCTATGTTTTTTTAGTTTCATTTTCCCTCCACAATAATTTTATCATAACAATACTAAAGTATCATTTTAATTCTACTATAATTTCATTTGATAATTTACATTATTGCTTGAGTTCTATTTTTTTTGTTTCATTTCACAAACACTAGTTTTTTTATTTTTTTTTATTTTTTTTTTATTTTTTTTGAGTATTACAAACACTAGTTTAATTATAGTAATGTTGAATTATTATTTTAATTGCACTTCAGGTCATTTGACAATATATGTTATTGTATGACTCTAGATTTTAATTTCATTTTTCATGCACACTAGTTTCAGTATAGTAATACTAAAATATCATTTTAATTATTGTTGGGTAATAAGGTGGAAAATCCCAAAATAATAATAATTCTACGGAAAGATTAATATTATATGGGAAAACAGAAAAATGGGAAGGAAAATGTTGAGTGTTTGGGTATAGGTTTAGCACGAGTTCGAACACAAGGTTCTTTTCCTTAAAACCTTATTTGCTACCTCCCACAAGTGCTAGGAGCGTTGTAGCCTAGGTTTCCCAGGATAAAACGTGCTACGATTCCTTGTTTAAGCACCTAAACAAGGAATCCGGCAAACAAAGCAAAGTAGAGAACACTAGTTGGTAAAGAAGATAATAGAAGCAGAGTTTTGGGAAGCTGAAATCTACTGGAATTCCTTTCGTTTTTTTTTTTTTTTACTGTGTGTAAAATGCTACTGCTTCTACCTCTCTTTATATAGGGATGTTGGAGTGATAGCATTCAACATGGCCATTAAATTTGTGTTAAAACCAATTGTGTAACACCTGTAACGGTCACCCACTAAGTAGGATTAAACTCAGATTTAAAATTGGAATTAAAACAGTATTAATTCAGTAACAGATGAGTTTAATCTGTACACCAGGCTGAACTTTCGGGTTTTAGACCGTTGGGGTGCAGGTTCACACGAGAGCACACGGACCAACAACACGAGAGTGCACCTCTCGTGCTCACTGTGGTGCAACCCGAGAGTGCACCACTCTCGTGGTCACAGAATGCACGAGAGTTGTGCTCTCGGTGCACCACAGCCTCTCTTGCTCCTCTGTAGCACGAGAGTAGGTCACAGATGCACGAGAGTTGTGCTCTCGGTGCACCACAACCTCTCTTGCTCCTCTGTAGACCGAGAGTAGGTGCTATCGGTTCGGTTCCGGCCGAACCAAGTGACTATATCAGTTGGAAAATGATACCGAAGTTTGGCATAACTTATGCCCGCAAGGCCAGCCAGGTGCCGGCGCACGCGAGCTCGGGCTTGATTTCAAGCCTTTTTGATGTCCTCTAGTTGGATTTTGATTTGCACCCCCCCCCCCCGCGCGAGAGAACCTCTATGGTATACAATTCTACAAGCTTGAAAAGAGCTCATGTATATAAGGGGGGCAAATCTTGTTTCCAAACCAATGTGGGACAAAGTCCTACATTTTCCCTTCATTTCCCAACTTAAATGGGTCTACTTTGAGAATCAATATCTCATTCACCCATTATCCGTTTTGAGCGTACAATATATCAATCTCTTCGTCTTACTACGAAGAATCCGAATCCACTTTGACCCGACCCAAATCGGAAGTGGACCCCACTGATAATTGTACCACAAAATAGCCACTTAATATGCCATTTTATGCCATTTTAAGCTAATTTTTCCAACAATTCCCCACATGAATGAAAATTGATTTTTGGGGTAGTTTTAAAACGGAAACAACTGTGTTCAACGGTCGATCCCTGCATAGGATAGGTAGGGTCGCACCCTTTGAACCTTCCCTCGTGAAGATACATTTACTCTACTGGCTGTACGGTAGAACGCGATGTCTTTGAACCGACTGCCATTTGTGTAGACGATGACATATCTCACACAGGAACCTCCCAACCATGCTTTGTTCTCATGATTGTGCCCATTTTGGTCGTGGGTCACCATTCCTGATTCTGCAAGAGTTTGTGAAGAATTATGCCCGTCAATTCTCCTTTGAAACGACCCTCACTTCTCTCTCACATAGGTGATTCTTTCCCGAGTATCCCGCATACTCACATATGTCAACCGACATTCGAATCACTAAAGCATTTAACATGCTAACCTTGTGCGGGAGCCACTGTTTCTAACGAGGAGTGGTAGGGAATCCGAGACCCCCACAGTGACACGCTCCGTTCCATAATTTAGTTGTCCCATTGAACCTAGGTGCCAGCTAGGTTGGGTGTCCACTATAGAACTTTATACCAAGGGCTTTAGACCCATTCCTCGTCTCAACTTCTCCACAGCTACTCTACATAACCCTTTGGTTAGCGGATCCGCTATATTGTCTTCTGACTTTACGTAGTCAATCGAGACAACACCAGTTGTGAGAAGTTGTCTAATGGTATTATGTCTACGACGCACATGTCTAGACTTACCATTATACATATGATTCTGTACTCGTCCAATTGCAGCTTGACTATCGCAATGCACACACATTGGAGGTACAGGTCTTTCCCAATTAGGAATATCCTCTAAAAAATGGCGTATCCATTCAGCCTCTTCACAACATTTGTCCAAGGCTATCAGCTCAGATTCCATCGTGGATCTAGCTATCACGGTCTGTTTAGAGGATTTCCATGCAACGGCTGCACCGGCTAGTGTAAACACGTAGCCACTTGTGGACTTAGAGTCCTTAATATCAGATATCCAGCTAGCGTCGCTATACCCTTCAAGTACAGCAGGATATCTCCCATAGTGCAGTCCAAGGTCTCGAGTATACCTTAAATATTTCAGAACCTTCACTATTGCCGTCCAGTGCATGGCACCGGGGTTACTCGTATATCTACTGAGTTTACTAACCGCAAAGGCAATATCCGGCCTAGTGCAGCTCATTAGATACATCAAACTACCAATAACCCGAGCATATTCTACTTGAGAAATACACTCCCCGTGGTTCTTGGTTAGATGAACGCTTCGATCTAATGGCGTCCTAGTCCCTTGATGATTATCCTTGTTAAATTTTTCAAGGATTTTATCAATATAATGTGATTGGCTTAACACCAGACCATCAGGTCTTCTAATGATTCTAATCCCGAGGATTAAATCAGCCAAACCCATATCCTTCATGTCAAATCTCGCATTTAACATGTTTTTGGTAGACTTGATCATCCGATCGTTACTACCAACGATGAGCATGTCATCTACGTATAAACAAAGAATGACATAACCGTCTATCGTTTCTTTAACGTAGACACATTTGTCACTTTCGTTTATTTTAAATCCATTAGTCAACATCGCATGGTCAAACTTCTCGTGCCATTGCTTAGGCGCTTGTTTTAAACCATATAGCGATTTAACCAATTTACACACTTTCCTTTCTTGGCCCGGAACCACGAACCCTTCGGGTTGTTCCATATAGATTTCCTCATCTAGTTCGCCATTTAGGAAAGCGGTTTTAACGTCCATTTGATGAACTTCTAAATTCCGCAGCGCGGCTATAGCAAGTATCATTCTAACGGAGTTTATTCTCGTCACGGGAGAGTACGTGTCGAAGTAATCAAGGCCCTCGCGTTGCCTGTAACCCTTGATTACAAGCCTAGCCTTATACTTCTCGATGGAACCATCGGGTTTCCTCTTCCTTTTAAAGACCCACTTGGATCCTTAGGGTTTACTACCCGGAGGAAGATCAACAAGTTCCCAAGTGTGATTCTGTAAAATAGAATCCACTTCACTTTTAATAGCCTCTTTCCACATTGGTCCTTCTGTAGAAGTCACGGCTTCTCCGTACGTTCGAGGCTCGTTTTCTATCAAACAAGATAGAAAATCGGGTTCATTTTCTAATAAACAAGATAGAGTACTCGAATCGTACTCCAACAAGTAAGTTAGAAAATCAGGACCAAATGATTTTCCAACTCTCGCCCGCTTACTGCG